ATTCACCCGGCGGATTTGCAACAACGAACAACCCGTGTGAAGTATTCAATGCGAGCATTAAGAGATATACACAGCGAAAGGCTGTTGACACTAGACGCCTGATTTTGAAGCTTCTCACTATTGCGAAAGACTACTCAATTTGTGTGCCATCTTATCAGCGATCGTCCCTGCAGGCTCCTCCGCAAGAAGCCAAAATGCTAGCAAAAGTTCTAGTCACAACCCAGCGGGTAGCGGTATTCCGTACACATGAGGAATCCGTTGTTCGTGTTCGATATATTGGTGATCAAGACCGCGATAACAGCGATATTAGCAACATTTCTGGCATTGGTGATTCTACTGTGCAGGAAGCTACGGGAAGAGAGCTGATTAGCTCTGAAGAATGTCTGACGGATGTCGAAAAAAAGGCGGCATCAACGTTTTACAAGTTAGCTGTGAAATGGTCAGTCCGACGGGCGCATCATGCTGGAATGCCGCCTGGAGGTTGGCTAGTTCGTACTCGCACATTTGAGTGCACGTGTGCCTTCTATAAGAAGTTCCTATCTTGCGCTCATGTGATATGTGGTCGCATGGCTTTGGGGCTCAGTGTACCGGGTGTTGGCGGGCTGCACATGCAGTTTAAGGATCGTAGAGTACGGCTCGCTCGCAAAACAAAGGCGAAACCAGCGCGGTTATCAGTATTAAGCAACGAAGATCAAAGGCTGTTGTATGTCGAGAGCGGTTGTTGTACAGCGCCTATAGGACGAAGCGTCGCTTCATCACCAAGCTGGGACGCCATAAATTCGTCGGTGGAGGCATTTCTTCATGAATTTCAACCTGAAAGTGCCCAATTGGAAGAAAGTAGCTATAGTACTTACCAAAACTACAGATTGGGTGGAAGTAGATGCATCGGCGACGATTACACCAGTTTTGTTGGTCACTGTGGGATTCAGGGATCGGAGCCATTTGGGCTTTCCGATGTCGCTACCAATGACTTTCAACCGCAAGGTGCAGCGGTAACAAATGAAAGTCGTTTTCAGACAACAGCACGGAATATTGATTCCTCCACACTCTCGACAGTATCGAGAATTGACATAGCGGCGCTGTTGGCTCCGGCCGCACAACCCACACGAAGTGCACCCCCGACTCGTCAGAATGCAGAATTTGAAGAAGAGCTCCCGATTCGCAGACGTGTAGGAAGGCCCCCAGTCGCTTCTCCAGCTTTAGATATTCAGTATTTACTCCGCTGAAAGAATACCCAGATGCTGGACGTCTCCTTAAAAAAATAAAATTAATTTTACAGCGACATGCTTTTTTCGTTACGTGTATTGCATATTTGGTTTCGCGACTAACTTGAGCCGTGTCCTGTTTCACATTAACTCGACGCGAGTTAATAGGAGCCGCGTCCTGTTTCATATTAACTCGACGCGAGTTAATAGGAGCCGCGTCCTGTTTCACATTAACTCGACGCCAGTTAATAGAAGCCGCGTCCTGTTTCACATTAACTCGACGCGAGTTAATAGGAGCCGCGTCCTGCTTCATATTAACTCGACGCGAGTTAATAGGAGTCTTCATGTACCCACAAATCTGATAAAATCTGATACAGAAACGAGTGGTTGCAAAAGGAAGTCAGTTCTCGTTTGGAAGGAAAAATCGCGGATGGCAAAACGCGTGTGCGTCCAGCGCACTGAAAAGGAGAAGATCGCTATAACAAGGGTATGGATGGTGCACCCCGAGTGGTCTTTGGAGGATGCCGTCCGCGAGTTATGCGTCAAGCCGACGTCACTAAGAGATATGAGAAGACAATACTGGGATCTATCGGATGAGGTGGTCGGCTCAGAGCGCAAGAAAAAAAGGAAGTGGGCCAAAGCGAAAGTTGGAGCCTTATGAAGATCGCGTCCTCGACTATTTCGACAATTTACGAGCAGATGACAGAGGCATGTTTGGTGAAATGCTATTTTATTGCCGGAATATTGACGAGTTTATTACCGATTTCCCGAATTTGTCCACCCAAAAGACGTGGGTTGGGCGCTTTATCGCGCGCTACGCGACCCCTGGAATTCTTAATTTGGCGCGTGAAACTGTGTCTAATGAGACAGACAGCACGTCTAACGCTGCCGCAGGCACCACCCAGCCTTCCCGATTGTTGCCGTCTACAGTCGATTCTCTTGGGCTTTGCAATATTCCTGGACAGAGCAGTACTTCTACGTGCGATCCAGATCGCCCGCTGGAGTCGAATTAAGAATTTGATGGCGCCGTTAATGAAATGGTGGAGGTGGACGAAGATGCTCATGGCCCCAACATGCTCACAGATCAAGAAGTTGCAACAGAAGGTGCGGATACCATTGAGGTGGGCGCTGCTAAAAGCCCTAGCTTGGCTCTGCTGAACTCGTCTTTTTCGACAGCACTTACATACCAAACCGCGACACTGTGCGAAAAGTTCGAGATTTTTCGATTTTTCAGAACTCCAAAAATTTCTGCCTACATTCTCAACACGATGTCTGCTGCAGGAATTTTACGCCCCGAAGAAGTGGCCTTTATACTGCCTTGGACGGTTATTAGGCGGTGCGAACAAAGGGTTACAGCTTTGCAGCGTAAGACCAAAGGACTGTCGGAGAGGGATGTGTGTTTGGAGATTGGTAGTGTGGGAATCCTTACGACGTCTACCCTAGCGGCTATGAAACTATGGCACAAGGCGACCAAAGCGGTGTCCGCTGTAAAGAAAACGATCAATTGGATCCCAAGTATTGACTTTAGTACTACTACTACTATTCCTGAATTTCACGTCACCAGAGAGCCCAGTCTTGTGGAGAAGTTGCTATCAGCGCCACTTTTTGCCGCTCAGGTACCGTCACGTTGTAATACTTTATGTTGAAGTAAACCATCTAATTATTTTGGTTTTATAGATGGAGATGCTGGAACTAGCAGGGAACAATACACTCGGAGACACAACTATCACTATATTGCTGGATAAACTTTTTTCAGCTCGACCTGACATTGTTTATATCGACTTGTCAAGTCTCTGCATTGTGATCGATGGAGTAGTTTCTTTTCACACGCAAATATTCAAGGAGTTGGTGTCGGGGTTGACGACGGAGGTCATTCTGCTCCCAATAAATTGCAAAGGGATACACTGGTGTAGTATCATGGTCAGCCTCGACCGCCGTGAAGTTACTTTCTACGATCCTATGTACTCCAGCTTTTCAGACGATGTTCGAGACGTAGCGAAGTCGATCATTCCTCTCTTGCCGGAGCCTGTCCAGTCAAGATACCGTGTTCGACGTTACGAATCTGATCTTGGCGCTCAGACGGATAGTTACAACTGTGGAGTGTTCGTCATGACTGCGTTTGAGCTGTTTTGTGGTGCAAATCTGCCTTTTGAAGGTGCTACTAGCGGCGATATGCAGTACTTAAGGTACAGGTATCTTTGTATGGGCTTCGATATCTGAAGTTTGAATAAAATTGTGTTCATTTTGAAGTACAATTCTTGGTCATCAGCGCAGTCTACGCGCGATGCTGACCCCGTATGCTGTAAATGCAACAACCAAGCTACAACTTGTACTGTGGTTTTGTACGTATAGCTGTTCTCCATCACGATCTGCATTCCGACCTTTGCACTACTACTACATGTACTGTACATGTACATGTAATAGTATTTTGCGTGTCTACTGTTGCCTGGTTGCATGTGTCTACTAATCGTCAAATCCATGTCTACTGCTGTCCTTTACTCCTTGTAAACGCTGCGCTAAACCAATCTTGGTCGTCTTTCTATTCATCGCGCACAAACTCGGCGGTGATCTTCATCCGGGAAAGCCGCGATCGATGCACCTTCTTTCGTGAAAAGCATGTCCACTTCTGCTCGATACTGAAGGCAAACTGGGCTCCTGCCAGTATTGACTGACGTAATCGCGCCACAATTTCGCGTCATGAAGCTCTGATACCAGCTGTGTGGTATCCTGTGCCTTAACAACAGCCTCATGTATCGTCGGCGGCTCATCATCGATTTCTACATACACAGGAGCTTCATTAGAACTATGTGTGCTAGTAATGCCCTTGACCATATCTCGCAGCTCCTCCAACAGAACATTTTTGAGCTCATCAACAGCGGATATTTCGATTGCTCCAGAACCTTTCTCTACGCTTTTGTCGCTTCTGTTCAGATTAGCTCTCCGTCACCACTATCGTTGGAACATGCACAATCCAAATCGCGTACACCTCCGAGTGCTGCGCAAGCGCTTGTTATAGCATCAGGCGCCAATGACCCCCCCCCCCCAGTAGACTCTCTTCTCGGTCCATTACGTCGTCCAAAAGGTAACGCGTTACCGTCTCGGCCTTTTCGCTAGGAGCCCATCCTACCCAAAACTTTACCAGCTTTAGCGACCATCTCCGCTTCTCAGGCGCGAACATAAAGCGCTCCACTACGACGGAAGCAATGCGGTGTAAGCCAGATATCACCCCCTAATCCGTTCTTGCTAATTCGAGTGGCTTTAGCGACAATGTTGAGTACTTGAGTAAAGTTGCTGTCGGACATTGAAGAGCGCCATTTCACGCCGACGTTAGCGGATGAAAGTGTATCGATGGTGTTATCTGTGCAGCGCACCCACTTCCGGGGTCCTTGTGGTATTTAGACAACGCTGCAAATTCATAATACCGTCACGTCACTTGTGATGTAGTTTGTACTCGAATGTGTAGCCCAACGATCCACATGGTTTAGTGCTTCAGCCGCGCGTTCTTCTTCGGGGAGATGGTGCAGCGAGTAGGTAGTGCTAGCAAGAGGATCGTGGTCTGTTTTCCGATCTCGAATAGTGAAGCAGCCAAATCGGATTACATCACCGTTTTTATGAGACTTGCGCTGAAGACCAAGCCGGATGTCACCCTTTTTTATAAACAGAATTACATTTTCCCGACACATTCTGTAGAAGCAGAGCGAGCACACAGCAGAAAACCACAGCCGCATTGTCGTGACATTGGTGATCGTTCTTTCACGCTTTTTTACCTTATTAAGACCAGCCATGATCTGGAAGATGGCGGACGAGCGCTCCGGGTTACCTCGAGGTGCTAGCTTCCCGTCTGAGGTAGAGTCGAGGACTTAGCGATCATGAGGGTGTCCTCCGGTGAGCATCTCTGATTTCGTGTGATGCCAGCTCAGCGCTGCGCGTAGCTTCTCTGCGGGCCACTGACTTGTGTCTGCTGCTGTTAGCTGGTTGATGTACACTGCCACGTTACCGGGGAACTCAATGAAATGCTGCTTCAGAGGATTTGGGTATCCTTCTTTCTGGAAAACTCAGCAAATCACCAAAGGCTCCCGGTGTAGTCTGCCCTTGTACGTGCTTCTAGCCGCCGATCCGCGTATTTGGATGCGGCTTTGGCCGCACTGTAAAGTTGACTGGTTCGCGGCTGATCCATGACGACGCCATTCGAAAATTTGAAATAATGAAATGTGAGGTCTCTCTAAGGGAGTCAATTTTTGTAGCAGTCGTCCGCAAAAGTATTCTGTACCTTTGTCGACCACAATTGTATTGTGTATGTTGATTAGAATGGCGAAGTGCAGTAATTCCGTTATGTGTCAGCATTTTTGTGGTTTTTACCCTGATAAATATTGACCAATTACATGTTTAGCCCGGTCATTTATTTTAAGTGCACCTCAATTTCACCCAAAGCGCATTCCTAATCTATTAATAACGGACACAGCATCTCTTGCATCTGCGCTAGTGTATACAAGCAGTTTTCCGCTAAGTACTCCACTAGCGCCTCCTCCATCTCAGGCGTGCAGCTCGTGTACGCTGCGCGCGCACTACCTCTGGTCTTGACGTCGGGTGTCCCAAGCTCAGCAATCTTGCGGGCTGTAGTGGCCGGAATGCCGTTGCAGTCCGTCCCTAGGGCCCAGTCTCTTACACTCGTGTACGCGTCTAGCACCCGCGTTCAGGCGGCAAGTCCGAGCTTCGGCTCGCTTGGCATGTTTGTGGCGCTCCTAAAGTCTGGTACTGACTCGAAGCAAGTGGTTAGCGTTACACTTAATTTGCATTGCTCTAAAGTCGCTTTTTCAAATATATTTCCAAAACTTGTCTGTTACTTTAGTTTATTCGGTCCATTTTGCTTTACGATCTCGCCGGTTAGGATTGGCACAGGTGTAGTTTAGGCGGTGATTTAGCAAATAAATATAATTCGTAAAAGGTGTATACCAAAACAGGCCCGAAACGGGATCTCGGTCAAAATAACTCCCAAAATAGCGTGGCCCACTCGACGGAGGTGACGGGCGCCGGAGCCAAAGTTGACTGAGCGCTGCCCCATGAAGAAGCGCTGAAAGGTGACGGAAGTGACGGGGCGCCACACAAAGGTGCACGACGGAGTGCAGACATAAATAAACGGTGTGCGGCAACGAAAGTCGACGTCATACTTGCACCAATTTTCTTTTCAAAAGAAGGCTGCCGTAATCCTACAAAATGATAAAAAAAAACTTACCTTACGACTACTGTACAGCATGTCTCCGGAATTTGTTGGTCATCAAAACATAATAGACCTTTTCTTGAGCTGACAGAAAAATTGACATAGCTCGAATAGCCCAACGGGACCTACGACGCGCTGGTAATCTTGTCAGATGGCCAATTACATGACCTCAAAGGAAAAACCCTGTTCAACCTGCTGAGGTTAATCTACTTCGGAAGAGACGTCTTCACGGAATAAGGTACGTCTATCCCGAAAGCATAAATTTTCAGCAAATAAAGTAGCTCATTTCCCGATTTACTTCGGCTTTTTTAAATCCAAATACAAGACTAAGTGAACAAGGATACCTCGCCAGCCGATTTCGCCTAAGCTCTACGTTGACCAAGTAGATGAGAGTAGTGATGAAGCTAAAATAAGGAACGACCACAAATGCTTTTTTGTTTGACAGCTTTCCTTGTGACCAATATGCTGTGGACGTGACGTTTCAGCAGCGTTGGCGTCCTGGTGGTGCTATTGCGGACAATAAGAGTTTTTACAGCGGCAAACATCACCTCTATAGACTTAAAGTAGATGTGTCTATCGATAAGCGAGGATTCGCTATCAATGCGTCGGAGCATTCGCCTGGAGCCAAACACGACATTTCAAAGTTTAAGGACTGCAAAGTATTTCACTTGGCAAAACTGGTCAATCCTTCTGATGACGACTCTCCTCTAGATGATGGCCCGTTGCGTGAAAAAAATCCGAACGAGTGGTCTCTTCTGGCCTATAAAGGCTACTAAGGCCTGGCGGCACAGCTCCGATGCATTCACCCTAAAACGGAAGAGTGCTTAGTAAAGCGGAGGACGCCCACGATGATGGGATAGCTCATGACCGCGTGATCGCTGACAACTTATATTGTCGTCTCAACGACATCCCTGCAGACAAGTTTCAATGGAGTAAGGGGATGTACGACGACGTCTTCCGCCTGTGTCTGGCCCTGACAAACGTGCACGCTGCACGTTTCCCTCTTCGCACCAAAAACAGAGATTGGTACAGACGCACCAAACGAAAGCTGATTAATATCGGCTCGAAGGCAAAACAGAAACGTAAATTAGCGCAGGAAAAATAACGGGCTATGAAGCGACGCAGACAATCTTCTACACTAGATGATTTGGGCGGAGAGGAGGACGCAAGCGAGAATGTCTTACCCAGCTTAGTCAAGATTTCTAAGAGCACCTATGGGGCAGTATATGCATTTGTTCGAGAAACAATTTGTATTAATTCATTTTACTACATTGAAATGAAAAGATGTATTAATAGTTTTCCGAGAGAAATGTGACCTACTCCTGAATTTGTTGCTCGTCTGGTAACGATGCAATGTCCCATTGATCTGTAGCGTACCAGCTGGGTACCAAAAATTACTCCACAAATATTGAATACCTGGTAATTGTCATGTGCTACCAAACTTCTAATGTTATACTTCGAGTAGATTACGAATGACTTGTACGGTACCGTAAACCACGGTACCTTGGCAATAATTGTCCCTCTTCTCTTACAAGTTATTGTGAGCAATGTCGTCAGCCCCTTTGGTAACGATTACCCTCGCCTTGACGCCGTTTCCTGCCGTTGCTGCGCTGCATCATGTCGCTACTTGTATCTCGTCGTATTTGGACGGTTCGATGATGATCCCCTTCGACGAGGCCTGTTCGACTGGGTCGATTCGTTTGCTTGATCGCATCTGGGAGACCAGTGATCCGGATGCGGAAACAGCAACCACTTGGTCGTTGAGTCAGTACTTGCGAGCGGATACTCACTACCATCGATTCCAGTTCAACAAAGCTCTGCGTACGGCAGTGGAACGCGGAGATTTTAGCATTGTACAGTGGATTTTAGAGCATTTTTCGGATTGTACAGCGGGTGTTGAAGTGGTGGAGGAAGCAGCACGTCATGGACGATTGGAGACACTGTAGTGTTTGCTAGAGTGTGATAGTCGTAGAGATCATGATAAAAAACAAGATAAACGTTATTCTCTGGGGAGGTGATGATATCATTAATGCCATAGCAGAAGGACATGGACGAGTGGCGAAGTGGCTGTACGAGAACACACCTGATGCTCGACGCAATTTTGATACTGTGATGAAATATGCGGTGCTACATGGTGATAGATCGCTGGCTCAGTGGCTTCTCGATGTTGTGTACACAGCAGAGCCATTACTTCCACCTCCGTCCATGGATGATGCTGCAGCTGGAGGCCACATGGAAATGTTACAGTGGATTTACGACCAAAGTTACGGTGGATGTTCGGACAACGCACTCGAGGGCGCTGCGAAGAATGGTCGACTGGATATGGTCCAGTGGTCGTAGAAAAAGGAATCACGAAAGGATCCAGAGAAGCGGTGCAAGCAGCTTGTTCTGAAGGTCATCTGAGTGTTGTCCGGTGGCTTCTGGAACGCGGCAACGTCCCGTATCCCCATTTTGCAATGAATTGTGCCGTTCGTCAAGGTCACTTGAACATTGTCAAGTATCTTGGCGAGGTAGGGATTGCGAGTGCACCTTCGCTCATGCTGATTGACGCTGCTATGAATGGCCACCTGCATTTAATAAAATGGCTCCTCGAAAAGTATAATGCTTTAGAACTGTTCCCAAAAGTTGACCCTACTCGTTTCGGAAGGTCAAGCCAAACTGCGATGGATCGAGCGGCAAATAACGGACATTTGCACGTGCTTAAGTTTCTATACTCCGTTGCTGTCGAAATGCAGAATGAAGGAAAAAGTGAGGGTCCTACATGCACGAACTGGGCTCTACAGTCAGCGGCCTCGATGGGGCATCTCGAAGTTGTAAAGTGGCTACAGAAACACTACCCGAACTTGTGTTTCGCCCCCTCAACTACAATTATGGTAGCTCGCAACGGCAATCTCGAGATGCTGCAATGGCATCACGATCGAGATGACGTCGAGTGGTCCACTGATGTCATGGATTCGGCAGCTGAAAATGGACATCTTGCAGTGGTAAAATGGCTACACAAGAATCGCAGTGAAGGTTGCACGACCAATGCAATGGATTATTCTGCACGTAATGGCCATTTAAAGGTCGTGCGATGGCTTCAGCTTCATCGTTCCGAGGGTTGCACAGTCGATGCGATGGATTTTGCTGCTGGGCGTGAGCATTTTGAAGTGCTGCTGTTTTTACGAGCTCATCGCAGAGAAGGGTGCACGGCGACAGCGAAAATATTTGCTCGAGAGCATGAGCAATGGCACATTCGGAAGTGGTTGAAGGAGCACTATCCAGAGTCGGGCTTGCAGTAAGGGGAGTATCACCAGTCGCTATGCTCGACAGGACAATATATTTCTAAATCTTGTTGCTCAATGTTAATCTCATAGTGTTGCGCGCCGGTAAATTGACAAATCGTGGTACTATTGATGGTCAGTTGCCAAATCAAGTGCCCTTCGCCAGGGCAAACATGGCAAATTGCCACCATGCTTCGTGGCCACCGGCATGGGGCGTAACAGTGCTCACGAGACATCTACCCCAGTGACATCAGCGACACTCACGGCTGCGTACTTCTTGTGAGGCTCGGAAAATCGTGTAACTCACGCCTTTTTCTAGTGATTTATATGATAAATTTTATGGCACACCATAGGATGGCAGTCGGACTTGCGTTTCTCAAAAACGTAGAGCGAGCACCGAGGCAGGCCTTGTTTCTGAAGCCCCTTTCGCCCATGTTGAGCTAATAGTGGTGTACGCCGAGGCAGTGCCTCAGGCCCATGCAATGCATGCATGTGCATGGCCCATAGTTATGATGTAACCCATGCGAACGAAGGCCACCACCCAGGTTTTGCAACGTGGTCACCTGCAAAAGCTGAGTTAAAAAACGAAGTCCAGAATCTGGGTCCCACAATCTGGGACCCAGATTGAGTTATGAACCCAAAGAAACCGTGTCACTTCAAGAAGTCACGAGGTCACTGACTGAGTCACTGACTTCACCAGCGGACACAGACCGCGATCCGAGCCTATCACTTTCGAATTTCCACCTTATTCATCATACCTCGAAGCACTTCCACAACATCCTCACACCCCACAAAGATGAAGGTCTTCGCACTAGCCGCGACTGCAACTTTTGCCACGCTCTCGGTGGTTCATTCAGCTGAACAGTCCTCGCTGCACCTTCGTATCCACAACAAGGGCGGAGCTTGCACAATCGCTAACGAGTCTCAGTGTGACGGTCAAAGCTGGACCGAGAGCACCTGCTGCGCTGACTCAAACTACGAATGCCGCTGGTCGGGCGACCGACAGGACATGAAGCGCTGCCAGAAGAAGCGAAGCAAGGGACAACACCACAAAGATGTCGAGGACGACAGCGACGATGACTCCGACTTTGATATCGATATCGATACTGACGACGTCGCGAGCGCGTTCGGTATTCGCCTAGATGACTACGACGACTCCAGCGACTACGATGACTACAGTGACTGGTTCGGCGATGATGATAGCAGTGACTCCAAGGACGATGACAGCAGCGACAGCAAGGACGAAATAACCAAGCACCGCCGCTGAAAAATAAGGCTGGGTCGTGCACTATCACGAACGAGTCCCGTTGTGACGAACACAATTGGACTGGAAGCACTTGCTGTGCGAATCGTGACTAAGAGTGGCGTTGGTCCGAAGACTGTGAAACGATACCTGAAGAATAGAGGCTAAAGCGAGTGTAACTTCCGTTTCATGTTGTGCGTATTTGCAAACATTCAATAAAAAAGAACATATCAATTGCACTTTTCATGCAGCATTTGTTTTGATAAAAAATGTTTTAAAATGAGCACAACATCCTCACTCCAATCTTTTGCAATGTTTCCTCAGTGCTCACAATTCTATCTAGAGATTTCAGAGCGCTGAGACCCCCAGATACTGTCGGGTAGGCCACTCGAGGAAGCTTTTCCACTACATTGGGGCAGATTGGGACAGTTGTAGAACCTCTGGGTCGTTTGCTATACCGAAATAAAAGGCAAGACCAATCTAGATTCAACAGATTTGCTGTGGAAGGTATAGATAAAGCGTAGGTCTGGAGTAGCTTTAATATATAAACTATTCAAAGCTCGAGTAAAACTCAGGTATGAGTACCGTATAGGCCGTATTATACGGCAGTGAGCACCAATCTAGCAAATGAATCACCTCTGAAGCCAGAGCGCAGTCTTATAAAGTATTTTTTAAAAACAAATTGCAATGACCAAATCTGAGAATTAAATATTTTTTCTTGCTCAATCCAGACCCCCCCCAAAGTAAGTCACTTTAAGAGACTTCTCATTATTAATACCTTCGTCCAGTGGCATGCTCCTCTTAAAGATCCTTTGCTCAAGGTGGCCAAACTCTCTCGCGTTTGTCTTCATTAGAATGCAGAATGTACTGACATTTCAAATGGAAATAATTTTTAATTAGTAGTAAATTACGAGCTCCTTTGTCGAAAATTTTAATCGTGCCGAGGAGCTCATTTTATTTTTTAATAAAGACTTACAGAATGTGGCATCATTTCTCCTCCAAGAGCTCGACCAAAGCGAGCATGTTCCGTTGAAGCTGAAGCTTGAGATTTATCACTCATATAGTGAATGCGCACCCACCATCCAAACTCCTTGTACATCGTATTGCATCGCTTCATCATGGCCCAGGGTGTGGCCCAACCTCTCTTAGCGTTTTTGGTATCGAGAATTCAATCTCATGTCATCTTGGCTATAGCCACGACTAATGATATTAGCATTGTTGATACAGCGCTATCCCCACAAAAGATTTCCGTCCGCCAATATCAGAACTCCCGCCAGAACGACAACCTCGCGCTCCATGAAGTGCATATACCGGTATCTCCAAAACGTGGCAGTCAACCAGTGATTCACTGGTTGCCAACCAGTAAATGTCTTCAAGGCATCGTCACGGTCGCTGCTGCTTGAAGTTTACAACCACTGCATTTTGTGCAAGAGTACGAACCCATAACTCTAATCGTGCAGCCCATCGTGGATGGTTGGTCATGGGCTTGCTTGACTCGGAGGCCGTGCCTTGATAAAACTATTAAAGCAATATGAAAACGTAGCTGCCGATGCATTTTCCTTCTCATCCGTCTCCGTCAAAGGGCTGAAGCAAATGGGGAAACACGTCCGCCGCACAACGTCAACGCAGTCAAATCCTTCCGGATCGCCTGCAACCGCAACGGTAAATTCTTTTGGTCTTGTCTCTTGCGCTGCGCAAGTTGCGCACAGTGATTTCACCCCGTAAAACCACATATTTCTTTATAACTATAATTTGAAGGATATTTGATTTCTTACAAAAATACGATGCAAAAGAATCAAATACCTTATCATCCAATCTCGCAGTATCAAAATCTAAAGGTTCCACCACGTACTTGTCGCCTTGCTATGCAAACAGCCCAATTGGAACGAATGACCACAGGTCATTTGCACTTTTGGTCCTGAACACGCACTTGCCCCTTGAAAACGATGCCCAAAAACAAGTCCAAGACCCGCGACCCCAGCAACAGCTTCAGCGCTTCGTTCGACGGCGCCCAGGATGGTGTGAGTCCCGTGGCTGTGCCTCTGACGGAGAATGAGGCCCACGTGTGCGCGTCTCCAGGCAACATGCACTCCCCGACGCCCACGACCGCTGGTGTCAATGGTGTCGGTGTCGAACGCTCGCATTGCCTCGTTATCTACACAGGCGGCACTTTCGGCATGGTTCCAGATGAGAACGGCGTGTTGCACCCCAGCAGTGGCTTCTTGGAGAAGAAAATCAACGAAATGGACGAGTTCAAGTTCGAAAACATGCCTCATGTGACTGTGAGCGAGTGGGCAAACCCCATCGACTCTTCCGACATGACGCCTGATGATTGGGGCACAATTGCCAAGGAGATCGAAGCTAAATACTGGGACTACGACGGCTTCGTGGTGCTACAGGGCACTGATACTATGGCTTACACGGCCTCGGCTCTGAGTTTCATGCTCGAATATCTGGGCAAACCCGTGGTCATCTCGGGCGCCATGATCCCGCTCCACTTCCCTCACAGCGACGCACGTCGCAACTTGATCATGTCGGTCATGTGCGCAGCGTCGCTGGCTATCCCCGAGGTGTGCATCTACTCGAACAACAAGCTGCTGAGAGGCAACAGGACCACCAAAGTGGCCAACATGTCCGTGGACGCCTTCCACTCGCCCAACTTCCCGTCACTCGCGGTGACGGGCGTAGAGGCCATCGTGGACCAGCCGCTCATTCTGCCCTACCCACGTTCTCGTTTCCGTGTGTTCACAGCCTTGTCGACCAATATTTGTGTGTTCCATTTGGTGCCTGGCTTTGATGCCGAGTGTATTGAGGCCTATATTGAGCGTCACAGTGCTACCACAGACAAGGATAAGCGGAAGGCACTGGTGTTTGCACTATACGGCACTGGCAACGCCCCGTTGCGTAAGGATGGTTTCTTGCGATTGGTGAAGATGGCTATTGACGCCGATATCCCTGTGACTATCACGTCACAGTGCGTGCAGGGCCGTACACAGCTGGATACGTACGCTACGGGTGTGAATTTGTTGAACATGGGCGTGATTACGTCCCTGGACATGACAATCGAAGCTTGTGTTGCCAAACTGGGCTACCTAATGGGCAAGGGCTTCACGGGCAAACAGCTCAAGACCAAGATGGAGACCGACCTGCGCGGCGAACTGTCCATCGTGGACGCAGTCGCAAACGGCGAAGAGATGAGTCGCACGCGCCAGTACCGCAAGACTGTCGTCCGCAGCTTCGCCTCGCACTAGGAAACGCGTAATTGTTGAAACGAATAGAATTGTGATTTTTTATCGTCTGTGAATAATTGGCAATAATTGTTTATTCTCTTCATGACAATCATTGTAAAATTGAAAAATATTTGCTTCACTTCAACTTGATCTAAATTTTCTAAGTTACCTGATTCTACCCTTTAATTATCTCTACGTGTTCATACGATACTCTTCTCCTTCACTTCCCCTGACCGTCCACCCAGTACTCATTGGACTCGTAACATTTTCATTTTTCGCATTGACGTCGTCGGATAACAGCGAGTTACGGAGCTCACTCAGTCCGGATGAGTCACGACTGCGAGCACGTTCACAAGACCAACGCACAGTAAACAACACGAGCCACACCAATGTGCAGTATACCAGCACTCCCAACGCCACAGCAATGGCGAAAGTCACCACCCACAGCACGACAACCGCCCGTCTCTCAGTCACAAAATTGGTCGACGTGATCTGAGCTGCCACGAAGCCGCAAGCCACACAAAGCGCCATCAATACGAAAATGATGACGACTCGACCCTTGCGAGTAGCAGATTGCGTTGTATACCCTGCGATAACTGGTCGAGAAGGCCCGTCACGACGTGTAAAAAGCCCAAAAAGTTGTCGATCGCGGTAAAAAGAGACCAGCGGCTCAACGAGAAGCACGACCACCGGGATACAGACGCCAATGATTACTGCTGCCAGTACGAAAGCCTCGTGACTTAAGCCGCACGAGCACTCGAATGCTTCACGTACAATACGGAAGGTAACGTCGCCACTGCCACTACCTTCGACCGTGGACTGGAGACGTCTACTGCTCTGAGTACTGGCACTTTTCCCATCGGAGCGAATGCAGAGACTGTTATCCGCAACAGATGCCACATCTAACGCACAGATTCTCAGTACGCAGGTTGTGCACAGCCACGAACTGTTGTCTGCTAGATGCCACTCAAAGCGGTACACGGTCGCGTTCGCGCCTTGGTTTGAGCTGGAAGAGGATGGTGTGGATAGGTTCGCAGCGATCGTCTCGAACGCGCTATTGTCAGCACTGAAATCCACTCGGAACTTGTCAAGTCCTGGGTCAGGACCAGATAAAAGCGTCACGTGCCACTCGACCAACATCGTCGATGAAAAACTGTACACTTCGCCGTTCAGAGGCGCAGTCATTGCCACTTTCACAGTCGCAGTCTCGGATACTGCAGAGGACGCAGACGTCGACTGTGAACTGGAGTTTGAAGACGAACTCGAGGTAGATGAATGTGATGAATCGCCAGAGCTAGGGGAAGACTCTGACGCTGAATCGGAGCTTGACGACGATGATATTGCTAATAATGACATTGGCGCTAGCCTCTGCTGTTTCCTAGCAGCAATCCGGGGAGTCTGGAAGAAAATAGCCGCGTCCACTGCAGTCCTCTTCTGAGGCATGTAGCACACATAATCGGAGGCAGGAACACACTCGCTGGTGCGTTCATTGCACGTCCACCCAGTAGGACAGCTTCCAACGACGCACTTTTGCGATGGAGTCTCATCTGGAACACATTGCGCTGCCATATTCGAGCTCTGACTGTCTCGACATGTTGACTCATGTGCACAAACCGCTGACCTACCACTACAATCCTCGTAAAACGCCACGCACTCCATTCGCTCATCAAAACCCTCCACAATTAATGATTTCGCGTCTTGTGCCAGTGCCAATCGACGGTTCACTGGAACTTTCAGCACTTCAGTGCAACAATCTCGAATCGCGAATATTCCGCACAGCAAAACTGCCACCACTATAAAAATCACAATATCAACTCAGTTCAAATTAATCTTAGTGCTGTTATTTAATAATTGACGTACGTACACAATGCAGCCAGCAGCACAAGGAAGCGATCTCCGCGCTTATACGGGTGATGTCGGTGTGCCACACAGATCCCAAAGAATGGGTGCGCATTCTTCCTAATATGCAGATTTATCGTTCAGCACAATGTACCCATGTCAAGACCGGTGTTCCTCACCCAAACGTACATGTAAACGCGTAGATCAGCGCCCCAGGACTTCTTGATCCTTACACGTTGAGCTGCAAACACTTCTTTCGCTCGCTCGCCCGAGTCTGGCGCTTCCAATGGGTCATCGCTGACGTGCGAGTCGTCATCCTTGATAGCTGGTACACTGGGCAGAGCGCTGCCTGGCCCATCCACCGGTCTCAGTTCGCTGATAATCCGACTGCGTCGTTTCTTACGTGGTCTTCGATCTCTGGGCTTCTCGTTCTCTAGTTCCTCCCCACTTTTACGTTCGTCGCTGTCTCTCCCTCGAGCATAATCCTCATCTGAAGGTCTGGCCACTTCAGGCGCTAGAAGCGAGCGACGCGGCAGCGAATCCCCCAGAGACCGTCGAGGTCCTATACCGGTAGATGATGGAGGAGGGGGGGCTGCTGGACGTCGGAATGGAGGAAGCATAGACGGGCTCGCACTGCGCTCATCCAGCTCCAGTTCTTCTTCCACTGTCGAAACGCGAGACGTGCGCTCCATCGCTCATGCGACTTAACTGTCGCGCTCTTAATGGAAAAGTGAGAGCGATGATCGGATCGCGGTGCTCGACATAGTGATGGACTGTCCGTCCTGACGTGTCCCATTACCAACCTTGGTCTGTCAACAGCCAAGTCGGCAGCGACTGATCCGACACACACAATCGCTACGTCGCCCAAGTACTTTAGAGGTCCCTCCCAGACTCTGGGTGTGGATGTTGCACAGCTGCTTGGGTCGTGGCGGTGTCTCGAACGAAATTCCTTGAAGATTGGGAGCGGCGACGAACACTCTTGTGGCGTCGTCGTGACGGACGAGCTCAGGATCTTCACCCATCGACCGTTATACTTACCTACATGTAACATGGCTACGCATTCTACAATTAACTGTTTGTTTGTCAGCGTTCAGATGGCTGCGCCGTCAGCGTGGCGTCAAGTAGGTGGCTTTTCAGTGGCTCAGCTTTCCTGGGCAGACATGACCTCCAAGAGGAGCACGTCGTTGCAAAGGTAAGATTGACCGCAGTAACCGTATCGCAGACCTGGACGAATCCTTACTGAGAAATTTAAATACTCCTTGTAAGTTTATCGAGCAGCTGCAGGGCCACCAAGTTTAAATTATACTGTCTGCCCCGCCAATTTACATTTCGCTGAGCCGCAAGAATTTTGTTTATCAAGCGACTCAACACAGTGGTTCCCTTTATTGACATGGTACTGTATCTCTAAGCTAAGGCTACCTACAACTGCTTGACAAATTTGACAACGGGGAGGTAGAGAGGGTCCGTCCAGCTGTACTTCCCTTCATCCACTTTGGTGTATCCGAGCGCAGCGTAGAATGCCTTCGCCTTCTCTTTGTTGGCGTTCGTCGTCAGATATATGCTCTTAATTCCAATCTTCTTGGCCCAACTCTCAAGCTCTGCAATCATCTTCCGGCCGACACTCATGCGCTGGTACTTCGGATCAACGTACACGCGTCGAATCTGTCCCTCGTCTTTAGATTCGCGTAGCAGGCCGATGATGCCCGCGATCTTCGTAATCCCGTCTTTTATCGCGATCGCGACCAAGAAGTTGCCGCCCGGAGCAATGTGACTACCTTCGATGTCAGCTAGGTCGTTCGTGAGGTCCTTGCGAAGTAGCTCTTCCCACAGATAGCAATACTTTGGGTCAGGGTCGCATGCCATCAGACCTTCCACGTAGACCTTTGTAACCTGGGCATGGTCTTCAGGGCGATATTGCCGGACCTTGATGATTGTCGAAGTTGCAACTGTCATGGCGTGCTTTTGAGTGGGGATTATGTTGTTGTGTTTGCTTGTAGCGAGGCAAATAAAGCAATGAAGGAAGATGGGAATTCCAAGTGTCATTTAAAATGTGTTGCAGACGAATCATGCTGTTATGATGAGCGAAGAAATTCCAAGGGAACACCAGTCTATCAGTACCGGCTATCAGTACCGGCTACACCAGTCTACCAGTACCGGTATACCGACGCCGTAGCGAAATCTCGCTGAACTCTTCCTCATTTTGATTTTGCCGCCCTTCCCTTTTCGAGGTAATGCTGTATGGTCATTGCATAAGCTATCATGAATGTATTTGCACAAGGATTGTGGAAACCTTTAATTAAGTTTTGATAACTTCAGGTTTAGTGCAAGACGAATTACGTGACGTGATTGGCTGGACAGCTGTCCAAAAGGAAGTGTGTTTTCGCTCATCCAAACAGCAAGATTCGAAGGCGTAACCACGCTGAGATCCAAGCCTAAAAACTGCGAGCTAAACTTCATTGCTTCATTTTCTCCATCTCATCAAAGCCAACAGTAGTATCCCAGCCACGCCATGACAGTTGACACCTCGACGATCATCAAAGTCCGGCAATACCGTCCTGAAGATCATGCCCAAGTCACCAGGATCTACGCACAAGGTCTGATGGCGGCCGATCCCATTCCAGAATACCGCTATCTGTGGGAAGAGCTACTGCACAAGGACCTGACAAACGATCTCGCTGACATCGAAGGCAGTCACATGGCTGCGGGTGGAAACTTCTTGGTCGCGGTGGCGACAGCAGACGGATCCAGCAAGATCGTGGGCATCATCGGTTTGTTGCGCGTATCTGAAGATGTCGGACAGATCCGACGCGTGTTTGTGGATCCCAACTATCAACGCATGAGTGTAGGGCGGAAAATGATCGCAGAGCTTGAGAGCTGGGTTCAGAAGAACGGAGTCAAGAGCGTGTTCTTGACGACGAACGCGAACAATGAGAAGCCACAAGCATTTTACACTGCACTCGGATACACCAAAGTGGACGAAGGGCAGTACGACTGGAAAGACCCGCTCTCTTCAAATTTGTCAAACAGCTGTAGCCTAACTCTCGTTTGCTGATAATTGAAAATTACCATGCCAATTTTTTGCTGTTGTATTCCTTTCAATTGAAATTTGTTAACTGCTTCACGAACTTGTCGACTTCGAAATACTGAGGATTCTCCCAGAAGCGCACGACATCATCAACTTTCGTGTATCCGAGAGCGGTGTAGAACGCCAACGCCTGCTTCTTCTTGGGGTTCGTTGTCAGGAACAGACGTTCGATTCCTTACTCCTTCGCCCAGCTTTCAAGTTCCACCATGAGCTTCCGTCCTACCCCCATGCGTTGGCAATTCGAGTCAACAAACAGACGTCGGACCTCGCCAACGTTGTCAGATCTACGCTGTAAGCCGATGATCCCAACGATCTTGCTTTGCCCGTCTTGTGTCGCAGTTGCCACCCAGAAGTTGCCACCGGGGGCCATGTGGCTAGACTCGATATCTGCGAGGTCGTTCGTTAGATCCTTGCGCAGACGCTCTTCCCAGAGATAGCGAAAGTTTTTGGATTGTCGTCGAACGCCATCAAGCCCTCGATAAATATCTTGGTGACAGTGGCATGATCTTCGGGGCGATACTGTCGGACTTCAATGCTCGCTCGTTGCGATGGATACTTGGAGCTACTGGCGACAGTCATGAAGCTTACGTAAGACGAAGGTAAAAGCAAGTCTGACGGAAGAAATACGAAAATGGACAGCATAGTCGTCGCTTGTGTAAAAAAAGGAAGGCCTTGCTTAGATGAGGACATCGATGAGATGAAACTTTCGCGCTCTTGGTGAGCTTGATTAATGTGATCAAGTGATCAAAAGTCACCTGGCTGTCATTTATTTTCTCACAGCAATCTCGGATAACGTGATGATTCACGATCCGTAATCTCTGCTGTGGTGACGCTAAATTTGTCGTCCTACTTAAAAAAAACATACATTTTGTTGCAGACTAATCGGATTTGAAGCGCCAAATTTCAAATAAACTGAAACTCCATTCAACGCTACAATTCAAGCCGAAAATATCGTCGGGTTTTCCTTGCTCACCACTAGCCCACTTCAATGAAGATCACCTCACTCGACCCTTAGGCCATCAATTGATCCGGTTTGTTTCGAAGGATACATATTTGGTAGGTCTCTGACGACTTTGGTTACGCCATTTGGTCACGCCGATAGCAAACCGTTGGCAGGCATTTGAACACATCACAAACCTCGATCACTTATCTTAAACGTTTAAGGCCACCTTTCCATCTTCCGTCGATCTTATTATATATATATTTGCACTCCAACATGCCATCTCGTGATATTTGGTGAGGCCTATTATTATGCACGAACTGCTTTTAATGCCTGTTGGGGTGTTTAGATGCCAGCCAAGTGCCTACCAAGTACCAGGTGTATTATGGCGCGTCAGAGACCTAATTTATTGATTTCCCAATTCTTTATTTTCACGAGCTAAAACAGGAAGCGGTCACTCCAAGTATTGTCAGCTAGTGTCTCTTTAAAACGACAGGGTGGACAAATACTGAGCCAACATGTTCACCGATATCACCTCTGAGCACGTAAAGGAAATTCAGCTTGAGCTCCTGAACATTTCGGTAGGATCCGTAGCAATAATTAAGACAAATGAAAGCACCAGTAGCATCCATCTTTCACTGTAGCTATTTGATAATATAACCAGCGGGGACTGGATTTGAGTTGAGCTTACACCACGTGGAAAGTTAAGTGCTAATTGGCCCTATTATAATAGAATACCGACATCTCGCCAGATCTGGACAGGGCGCATCACTTTACCATCATGTGATTTATCGAAAAGAAGTCGTCCGACTCAAACAAAGACCACAAGCAAAAATGGAACAGAATAAACGCTTGTCGTACTTAGCTTGGTTATCTTCGGATAAAGTGTTTATACCTTAGCGAAGATGTTGGTACGTATAGATAGTAATGAATGAGTGAATTGCACAAGATTTCTTTGATTTAGTGACGCTTTTTTCTATTCAAAACGTGTTTGTCTTCAAGCTAATCGTGTGTACGTAGCTAGCTAAGCTACAACTCTTTGCAAAACTTCACAACGGGGAAGTAAAAAGGATTTGTCCAGTAGTAAAGCTGTTCATCAGCTTTGTTGTAGCCGAGCGCAGCATAGAATGCTTGTGATTTCGTGCTGTTAGCGTTTGTCGTCAGGTACAGGGTCTTGATTCCGTTCTTCTTAGCCCAACGTTCAACTTTTGCAATCATTTTCCGACCGACACTCATGCGTTGGAAGGTTGGGCTCACATACACGCGTCGGATTTGGCCCACGGCGTTCGATTCGCGTTGCAACCCGATGATCCCGCCATCTCGTCAGATCCTCCTTTTGCCGCAGCCGCAACAAAGAAATTGCCACCTGGAGCCATGTGACTACCTTCGATGTCAGCGAGATCGTTCGTCAGGTCCTTGCGTAGTAGCTCCTCCCACAAGTGGCGATATTCTGGGTTAGGATCGGCCGCCATCAGACCTTCCACGTAGATCCTGGTGACTTGGGAATGATCTTCAGGGCGATATTGTCGCACCGTGATGACTGTCGAGGGTTCGACTGCCATGTTGTGTCTGGATGTATGGTGCTGGACGTTGCTGAAGTTTAATGTGGAGCAAATCAAGTAGTGATACTTTTGTTAATTAAGGGCAAGAGTCCTAGTTGTGTCACAAGACAATCGTGCTGTTTGGATGAACAATATTAGTGACGTTTTTGTATCAATTGACTAGCCAATCATATCGCGTAATTTAGACCTGTATTTATGCTCATAAAATAAAAATAGCGTGGGGAGGCCTCATTTTATTAAAGAGAATCACAAAAAGGCGTTGTACCCACTATTTAATAAAAGGTACACACAACACCGGGTGGCCGTCGTTACGCAAAGTGGCTTAATTGTTGCCCGGCTAGCAACGCGTTCACATACATAAATATGATCATCAAAACAACCGCTCATCTAAACAGCGCGACGGTTCATTGACAGCTTCAAAAGCAACATGGTCATTGTTTAACTTCACTCAAGGATTTAGCAAACTACTAGTATTATAATACCGCTATGACCGCTGGAACCCAAGCAACCATCGAAATCCGACAGTATCGTCCAGAAGATCATGCCCAAGTTACCAAAATCTACGTCGAGGGCTAGCTTTTGGTCCTAATCCAGAGTATCACTACCTGTGGAAAGAGCGTCTCCGTAAGGACCTGACGAATGACCTAGCTGACATCGAAGGCAGTCACATGGCTCCAGGTGGAAACTTCTTTGTCGCTGTGGTGACAAAAGACGGGTCAAGCAAGGTCGTGGGCATCATCGGACTGCTGCGCGAATCTGAGGACGTTGGGCAGATTCGACGCGTGTATGTGGATTCAAACTACCAGCGCATGAGTATAGGCCGAAAAATGATCGCAGAGCTGGAGAGCTGGGCCAAGCAGAACAAATCAAACGTGTCTTTTTGAGTACTGGCGCAAACAGCGATGGACCAAAAGCATTTTACACGTCGCTGGGGTATACCAAGCTGGATGAGATCCTGTACAACTGGACATATCCCCAGTATCTTCGCCTCGTCAAGTTCGTCAAACGGTTGTAGTTTAGTGTGAAATTACAAGAAGCTAGATATATATTATATACAACGTAGTATATAGCTAGCATCTGCAAAAGAGATTGAACATTGAAAGCTATCAAAATTCCGAAAATGTTACCGATCCGCTTCATAAAGGTAAGTTTTCGAATGTTCAGCAGGAGATCCATTCTAAAATGAAAATACCTGGATTTATCGTGCTTTTCATTACAAGCTAACTAGGTGACCGCGCCAACTGCGTGGTTTACACTTAAGCATTTTTTTTAGCTAAATGTACTATTTAATCTACATGTCTCACTGTTGGACTTCCGATGAATGCCCACCAGAAAACCACTGGAGTGGATAGCGGCCTCGTGACCGGATCGAGTCGTCACGTACTTCCCAATTTACTCCTTAGCCATTAATACACTTGGCAAAACCTTCCAGTGGACCGCACCCGCACATCTTGGTGTTATAATAACCTCCTGTGACGTACTACAGTTGTTCAGATTTAGGAAGATATCATTCCTCGTGATTTATTTCCGTGGCAACGATTTCACAGTATTTTGGCATCTTCCGCGGGTTTTCTGGCGACATCAGCGCGATATTTGCAGGCGAGTTCGCGTTCTGCTGCAGCCGTTAACCGCGACAGCTCAATTTTAAATTCAATTTTTCGTGTTCAATTATAATAACAACGTTAGATTCACTTCTACAGCAGATAATAAAAATCAGCTAGTAAATTATAAGTTTTTTTTTAAATTCTTTTAAGACAAAAAATACTAGCTGATTTATCCTCAAAAGTTTTGATGTGGTCCTACATTTTCGGACAGAGGGTAGTCATTTTTAGCCATAACGTTATCAGATTTATTATTATAATACATGCATTATTAATCCACTCTTTAAAACCACTCTGCCGTTGCCAATCGTCCATTACTGCCTTGAATACCCACTTTGACAACCAGTCCATGTAACATGTTGTCTCAAAGGTACTTTGAGACTCGAGCAGCCCCATCAGCATTCGTAGAACGTTGTCCTCGCAACAAGCTTGAATTCAAATCACGCTTTGATCCCGTCATAAAATTCGACAAGAGCTCCTTTGCTCGGCTTTTAAGCTCTCACGTACCTCGCCAACGTTTAGACTTTAAAGTGTTCCTAAATCACCTTAAAGATCGAATCCAAAATCACTTTCTTGCCTCCTGAAGTGAGCCACACGAAGGTAGAAGATCCTGCAGTGGGAAGTGAGCCATGGAGCGAAGCGCTTTGTGGCTTGCAGCCGTCGTTCCAGCAGTGGCGCCGCACGATAAACACGTGTTGGCAATGGCGAGCCAAATACTGTCACGTCGAGAAAACTGTGACACTCAATTTTTGTCTCACTTTTAGACATCCGTTTTATCATCGATTATAAAGTATCACGTCTTTTTTTTAACTTGAGTCATCTTATTATGCCTACAATTTGAATATATAAATGCAACTGACGCCGCAGTATCCGATTTGACAGTATCAAATATCAAAGAGAAAGACATTTCTGACTCCATTCTCTGACTCCTGTCCTTTCCGGGTAGGATCCCCACGGTGTAGCTGCCTCCTCTTCCGCCACGCTTCACTTGCCCTCTCTGCCCATTGCAGCGATGTCTCTGGCGGCCGTGGACGACGAGCAGCAAGCGCGACTATGCGGACGTGCACGGGCCAAGGAGATCTTCCAGCCGATGCGGTGGAAGCGTATTGGTACACTTCCAGACGAAGCTGCTAAGCTCTACGAGAGCGCTCGACGCTCTGCGACCCGCTGCTACAGTCTCCGAGCTGTGAAGCCTCTGCAAGCTTCATTAGACGAGGTTGAGGCGGTTCTAACGGGACAAACAGCGCTCCTCGGGAGAGATGACACACCTTCGCTATTGGCGCGTCTACTACCGGCCACGTACGTGTCTGGTGGACGTGTCGCTCGCTACCCGACGCTCGAGCACTCGACAAGTGAGCGAGAGAATGTGGCACTGCAATACGCAAGACTTAAGCCGTATACAGCCCAACATCCTGGACAAGAGACTAAGAACGCAGTTCTTCTGGCGTCTGTGGACAACTATGTGCTGCTGGGCTACACGCTGTCCACAAAACTGCAACGCTCGGATACGAGTAAAAGGAAGACGTCCGAGTCGTCTACACCCAGAACAGCGAGCTCTGTGCCCTCGTTACTCCACTTATATCGCCCTGTCAGCGCTCCATCTTTCGCTGAAAGAAGACACGACTTCCGACCGGAAAAGCTGGCAACCAACGACTTTAGCATCACCTACATCATCCAGGAGATGCCGTCAACTACCGAAGAGCAGAAAGAGCCTTCCGTGACGCTCGAAGTGGTGTTTACGTGCTCTCTAACCTCAGTGGATCAAGATAAGGAGGTTCTTAACCAACAGAAGCAGCGACTTCGACACGACGCACTGTGTCTTACAAGACTCCAGCCGTTTCTTGATGCTTACCGACAAGAGAAGACACGTCCAGTAAGTCAACGACGAGAAGCGCAACACGACCCCAAGGACTGCGACCCCAACTTGCTACGTGGGAGTATGTTCGCGGGAGGACGCACGTGTGGTGTCTGCCACCGCAAATTCGGCCCCTTCCGCTGGAAAAAGCAGTGCGAGGCATGCGAGAAACTCGTGTGCAACCAGTGTCTGTCGGTATTAGCTGCTGCGCCGTCGGTTTCTCGTCGGAAGAAGCGCGTGTGCTCTATATGTCTCTACGGCGAGACAGCCAACGTCGCTGCAATGCACAAATCTGTAGCAGAAGCCAATGACGACGGCAAAAGCTCAGTCAGTTCAGCTGGTTCAGTCAAGACACACGCGTCGTCTGAAGGCTCGAGTATGAACGTGTTCCAGTTCCCGAATTTGGAGTCGTTAGTGACGAAGCACAAGGCCAATAGACCAGCAGCTCCTGCAGCTCAAGGAACGCCGTCCCGAGCGTCTGATCGTGTTCAGATCGACTTGGGATTGGACCCTTTATTGGCTTCTTCGAGAGCTTCGGATCGTCGACGAGCACGTTCACGGCAGTCGCAGCTTTCCCAGGGATCTGTGGTAAGTACGACGTCAAGTGTCAGTGCCACGAGCTTCGTTCCAGCTGACAACCGACGCGCGACGTTATCGAGTCAAATCGATCTGGACGACAGCGAGTCGACTGTGTCCAAGTCCATGCGTACTCGACGTGCCAAGACGGTGCTGCTAGAAGACGAGCTTTCAGTGAAGAAAGTGAGCTACAAATCTTTGAACTTCATCGCGCCGCTCTCGTCTTCAGCCCCGACGCATTCGCTGTATGCAACATCTGAAGAAGAGGACGAGAGGACGCAGCATACTGTAAAGCCCCGTGCAAGCTCCTGTCGGACCTCCAAGATTCAATTCGTACAGCTAAGGACTCCAGAACCTGATTATGAGCTGGATTTCAGCTGGTATAATATCTACCCGAAGGCGCCAGTCAAGCGCAGTGCTGACGAAGTGGCTCGAGCAAAGTACGTCGAAGTGACTGGCCTGAAGGTGGATGCCAGATCGTTGGTCTTTTTACGTCACGATACGGAGTTAGAGGAGCTGGCACGTCGCGTGTTGGAGGTGGCTTCGCAATGGCATGGCTGCAGTATCAACATTGTGGGTAGCTACGAAGTGTACTGCCTTGTTACCGCCTCAAATAAACCGGAACTCGACGTGGACGACGAGTTGTTGGAGCTGGAGGCTTCTCCCCTGACTGTTGATGACGTGGTGCCTAGAGAAGAAAGCGTCAGCGCTTATGCGGTGCACCATCGCTCTCCGTTCTTTGTGGCTGAAATGGAGCACGATCCACGTTTCCGAGCTCACCCGCTGCATACTGAACAAGGAGCTGTGTCGCTCTTGAGCTTCCCGATTTACTCTTCCGGTGCCGATACGAGCGGCTCACTGTCTCGAAGTGAAGCTTACTGTGTGGCTACGTTGGATCTGTGGAAACGAGACCACGTGCTTGCGAGCAGCCACGTCTCCACCGACTGGATGACCAACATTGCTGACTTATTACGCAAGATCAGTGCTCGTCTGGAAGCTCTCGCGTTGGAGTCGCACGCCTTTCTCAAGCCTCGCGGTCGAGCCAACCACTCGTTCGGATCTTCATGCGATTCTAGAGGTAGTACTAGACGTGCTGATTCGATTATTGACCTCTACGATATTGACAGTGAGTCTGTAGTAGACTCCCCACCGTTGTCTCAAGCGGAGACGATGGATCGACTCACCAGTCTGTCATACGCCAAGGTGCGTGGTCTTGGCTTGGGTGGCATGAGTGGACCTGGCTCAGCGACGTGGAAATACGACAGCGACAACGAGAGCACAACGTCCAGTCAGAGTGCTAGCAGCTCTTGTAGCCAAAGCTCACGCTTCTCTTCGCATCTCTATTCGGCCGCAGACATGCACTCGACTATTGAATCGTTGTTACAACAGGCTTCGAAGACTTCCCAGTACATCAGTGAGACGGGAGTATCCATTTAGACTTTGGTTATCTTGAATTAAGCGTCCACGTTTTTATGACATCACTAAAGCGCGGTTGTACGACTTATTCATAATAAAGTGAGCGAGGTGGACAATCTGTTGCCAGTTCTGGTTTAACTGTTGCAAACATCGTTTTAACCTTGAAATGAAAGGTGGTCAAATAGCAATCACTTAGCTTGGAAACTAGAGCAAACATTGTGCTCGATATTATTACTTCGTAAGTAATAGTTTCTCTCGGAGCTGAGCATTGAAAATTAAAGGGAAACGAGTAAAAAGAACTTCGCGAATCTTCCACAAGACTGTGATCATGACCCCCGGTCAAGCATATATGATACAGTACTGCTCACTTCTGGTACGTGTACTTGCAATGTATCGTGATTGCGGGACGGGTGAAATACTGTCGCGTCAATCTGCTTGCTGAAGACGATCATATTCCTCTGATATACTCATTTGGCAAAATGCCGACCAGGTTATCCTCGGACTTCGATGAAGAAAAAGATGTCAGTCCTCACTCGCCGATTTTGAGCCCGAGGGGCGAGCGCGAGTGGTCGCTTATTTCAAGGAACTCGCTACTATCCCTCCATCTCGAGTGGATGCGAGATTCCGCTTTACCACATGCCATCAACGTTAGAGTCCCTGCTTGCAAATTTACATTAGATTTGAAAAAGGTATCAATGAATTGTTGAGTTGTTGAGTAGACATAATTATATATCAATACAAAAAATGATTGTTTTTGCGCTCTATTTCGCATCCGTGTTAAAAATATTGGAGGGGAGTCTGATTTAAAAAAAACTTCAGAGCTAACCATGCCCGAATAGCATTTTTGCAAAAAGTGCGTGCGCCAATTGAATCACGTATAAAATCATCGCTCATACTCAGGCCTCTTAAAACTAGGCTTTGTGTTGCGAGAAAATACTGACTACCTAAACGAAGTTTTGACAGCCGCCTAGTTGAAACCGGAAAGTTCCATACAAACCACAAGTGTAAAAGCTAACCACCGCCTGCGTGAAGCCCCAAAGCTCTTTAAACAGCTCTGGGTGTTGTCATTGTTCTATAATTCTCTCATTTAAGTGGTTTCACAACCGCCCAGCGCCTGTTCATTGTTCCCTTCTTCTCTCATTTCACGATTTCCGCTATGGCTCCACAGAAGAAGAAAGGGAAAGCTCGTACTCCACTACTCCAGCCTCGTCCGCTGAAGCTTAAACAAGCCAAATTACCGCAGTCAGAGCCACGTCAGCGATATCTTACGTCGTACGAGACCGAACTTGGGCTCCAGCCAGTACCCACTATTAGTGGCGAAGTTTTAGAAGCACAATGCAAATTTTGTACAGCCTTTGGAAGGGAAGAGAAGCCAGCTTCTTCGACCGGGCCTTTTGATGTCCTGCTAGCGAAGGCAACACGTAAGAAGCCTGCAACTAAAAAGGTTTTCCGGTCTTTTCGCAGAGATAACATCGTCAGTCACATGAAAGATCAGCACAAGACTAAATACGATGAGTTTATCTCTCTTCCCAAAGGAAGTCGCGTTCGACTAACCTTTTTCGATCGTCCAGCAGGTATGGATGTATTTTTTGGCGGGACTTACAGTTGTCATATCGAGATCACAAAAGGTGTCGTGGACTTAATTCGCGAGCTATACTTCAATGACGAAGGTGAGGACAGAGAGATTACACTCGCATCTGAAGAAGTTGGGCAATCCGACCTTGTAGATGGGGCGGAGTTTGATGAATTCTTTGAAGACACGAATTGCAAGCACCTACTAGTTATTTCTGATCGTCTCCAGTTTGAGGCTGTTATTAAGTTCTCGAATGAAATGGTCAGCTTTCGCTCAATTACGAATTTGTTTCGGATTATTGGCGACACCCTTCAAAACTACAGGCTTGGCCACCCATCTCAACATGAAGTTGGTCGATATATTCGCTCCATCGTATCTATTAACCTGGCTGCCCTAGAGATTCTTTTTTCCAAGGTGTGGGGGGTTTCTCTGCTAGTTGACGGAGGTACCCATGGATCTGAGGGTTATTTCGACGTCCGTGTAGCCTTTGAATTGAACGGAAGCATTTTTAACCAACACTTACTTGCAATTCCTATGGGGACACTTTCTCACAAAGCTGCAAACTACGCAAAGCGAGTGCTCTTTGTCCTGAATAAACTTGGAGGAGACAAACTAATCCGAAAATTGATCGGTGTGGCAAGCGACGGAGCCGCTACGATGCTAGGATGTCATGGCGGGTTTGCAAAACTTATCGAACATGCATGCGAAGCGCTAGGTGAGGGTGGTCTTAGTGTTAACTGGTGTGGTAGTCACCAACTGAACTTGGTGGTTGGGGCTTTCATCGAATCTCTCATAGATCTCGTTGATTTCCGCCATATCCTTGGGCAGGAGATCACCTTCACGAGAAAGTATGAAAGTGTAAAGACTGTTATTGGTAGATGCCCCACTTACGCTAACACTCGTTGGGAATCAATTTCGGAATGCTGTGAGTTTCTATCAAGTAACTACGAGGAAATCATGCAGTTACACGATATTAAAGATGTAAAAGCACCAACTTTTGTGTGGTGGTTGATTCTTTTCGCAATTGAGGAGCTGGTGGACAAAGTCAAGCAATGCTTTAGATCAATGCAGTACAGGACCGTCACGATGAAGGACCAGTACGAAGCGTTGGAGAATCTTGTAAGGTACTTTCAAATGAAGTTCGAGGAGCAACTAGAAGGCGATGAGCCTTCGCTCTGTTTTGGGAAGATTTCCGCTCACATCCAAACCGCCTCATTTTTCTCACTTCCATTGTATGACGAGAAGATTGACGATATCGAGCGACGACGGCTAGTAAATGGACTTTCAAGTGCGATTGGCGGGTTTATTACTGGTGTTAATCAGATCAGGATTGAGGTGAAAGGGGCTGTGTCAGCTACTCTTTTGACGCTTCCTAAGGACCTTGTTGCAATGAAAGATATGACCAAGTTTGGTCAGCTGATTTTGCCTTACAAGAAAAGACTGAGAGTCCAATACGGAAGTGGGGTGATCAGCTGCATTTGGAAGCAGGTCCGTAAGTTGCGTGAAACGTACGAGCTCAACCCGGACTTCAAGGCTTATGTCGACAGGTCTTACACCAAAGGTGTAGTCGAAGCATGGCGTATTGTGAACGGTTCTGGTGAGTATTCACGTTTAGTTTCGTTTGCGCTGGGGCTGGCTTCGATTCCACCCGGTACCCATACCGTGGAAGGTGATTTCAGCTCACTTAAAGGTGTCAAAACTGCCCACCGAGGATCGCTGACCAACTATGCACTTGAAGGTCAGTTGCAGGCAAAGCAATACTTCGATCTAATTCCCCTCGCGAACTCCATTGCAGCAGAAACTCTCATCACAAAGTGAACTTCGAAGATTCTAGGCTTTTCATATCTATCCCATACTATCATCAACATTAAATACCACCCTAGTTCGTATAGTAAATAAGGCACGAAAAATCCTAGTTGAGCATCTGCTAGGTTTTTAGGTAGTACTGCCTAGTTTTGAGAGGCCTGCTCATACTAGTAATTCTCACAACGACTTGTACCAATCGCAATCCGCGTTTGCGATACGTGGCACCAAATGGATGTTGCACTTGGGTGTACAAATATTCAGATAAGTATTTCTCTTATACACTCATTTGGCAAAATGCCGACCATGTTATCCTCGAACTTAGATAGAGAAAAAAGGAGGACTGGTCGCTTATATTAAGGAACTCGCTGCTATCCCCGCCGGGATCTTCTCCGTCAGAGCCGACCCAGCCATACACGTCGCCGCCATCTTCTCCGTTAGAGCGGACACAGTCATACCCGTCGTCGCCATGTCCGCCACCAGTGTCGCGAACACCGTGTTTTGAGAGTTACCGTCTCCATGGAGGTGCTCGATAGTCACCTTAAGAGACGACGCTCCACGCAGACCCGCACTTGCTGTTTGAGTAAACGTGGAGGTTGGCGATAGTTGTACCATCGGTCTCCACGCTCACAGATTGCACGGGTAGCTGAAAAGAATTCTCCCTCACGGTCGTCGCCCTCTGAGCGCTATCATCTCCACGGAGGTTGTCGATAGAACCACCAACGGTCTCCGTGAAAACGACGACGCTCCCATGATTCGCAGACCAATGCTCACGATTTGAGTAACCGCGGAGGTTGTCGATAGTTCTACTATCGGTCTCCACAGTCACAGATTGCACGATGGGCTGACATGGAGATCGCGGCGACGGGTATCGCGGGATCGACTCTGACGGCGGCGATTGGTACGGCGGCGACGGAAATGATGGAAAAGGCTCTGACGGCGGAGATGACGGGACGAGTATGGAGGCGACGGCTCTGGTGGCGTAAATGGCGGCAACAAGCACGGCGGCGACGGCTCAGGTGGCGGAGATGGCGATGACGGGTATGACTGGGTCCGCTCTAACGGAGAAGGTGGCGGCGACGTGTATGGCTGGGGTCGGCTCTGACGGAGAAGATCCCGGCGGGATAGTAGCCAGTTCCTTGAAGTAAGCGACCAGTCGCGTTGCCCCTCGGGCCAAAATCGGCGAGTGAGGACTGACCTTTTCATCGAAGCCCGAGGATAATATGGTCGGCATTTTGTCAAATGAGTGTATAAGAGGAATACTTATCTGAATATTTGTATACCCAAGTGCAACATCCATTTGGTGCCACGTATCGCAAACACGGATTGCGATTGGTACAAGCCGTGGGGGAATTATGAGCGCTGGTCAAATTTCAAACGTGATTCGATTGGCACGCACCTTTTGCAAAAATACTTTTTAATGTCGTGCTTTTCAAATTCTTTACTATTGTAGAGTTAAATATTCATACTATTCTCTGGATTTTGATCTAAACGGAGGTCCGAATTCTTAAACCAAAGCACCTTTTACATACATAACCTTATCAAAAGATTGCAATCATTTCATATCGGAAGATGATGTCGCTTGTAACTCCGTCCACCTCGAGCACAATGATGGTCACTCATACGAGCGACATCCTGCGGAAAT